CATACTCAAGCTTTGACCTAATTAAAGCATTATATAAAACAACAAGGCTGTCTAAAGAGGAAAAATTATAAGTAATAAAACGAATAAGCCCTAAGGTCCTTAGTGCCTGGGAATGAACACAATTTACATGACAGTGAAAATACAGTTTACTGTCTAACAAGACACCAAGATCTTCTAATAATGTTTGGTGAAGAGTACAAATTAATGCAGTGCAATTTTATCCATTCTGTTAAGAGTATGATAAAAACAGTTCTGTAACCTCCAGACAGTACAGAATATGTGATAACTCCATGGGAAAGTAACTATCATATCTATTGGATATAGACTGGATTATCAGAACCTCAGAATAACATGACAGTACTAAAAAGAGAAGTAATTAAAATATATAAATACCTAATAGAAGTGCATATGCTTCAGAGTACTTTTTATTTAAATAGACTACAGCATGTTTAATTACATATCATGAAATTATTCATTTTTCAGGTAATTAGTGGATCATGCAGGCTAGCACAATTGGCATGGGTTACAGCTCAACAACGAGACAACTTAAACCGTCTGATTGTAGCCCATCCTGATTGCACACCAGCTGTTTGTTGTCGGAAGGCCAACACTCTTGACAGTACTGTCTTTGTGGATGGATACAAAGTATTGGGTTTTCAGGTATTATATTTTACTGGATGATTTAATTTTTGTGTGTGTGTATTTTGTCATCCCATCAGTTTACTTGACTTCAAAATGAATCATGGTATATTTATTGACATGTTTAAACTACAAATGATTAATTTAATTATGCAACTTCATTTTTTATGATGTTCAAATTATTTGTAACAGGAATGTCTGGCATATGGGGAATTTCTGCAAACACTGCGCACATCACCTCAGCTTCTTGCAAGCTGCCTTGTTGCTGGTGATCGTCTGCTTCCAGATATGATGCATGGAATAGTTCATTCTATAATGACAGGATTGTTTGGTAGCAGTTTGCTACCAGAAGATAAATTGCTTGCTTTAAGGCTTCTGCGTTATCTCACAGAGCTTCAACTTGTGCCCTCAGAAAATCCACGCAGGTTTGTACTGGTACTGGGTAAGAGAACTAATGTAATACTTTTGAAAATCACTGTTCAGTTAAAGTATTATACTGAAGTACACATGATGAAAAGAGAAACAAATATAATTCTGTTTGAGAAAGTAATGTTTTGATTCATAGAATGTAAATTGGGATGTGGTTGTGTAGTGTATGTTTAAAAATATTAATGAATGCTGCCTCTCTGTATAATATCCTAAATTATGTATTTCTTCCTTAAGTCCCAATATTTTGATGAGAATTTTATTTTCAAACACTTGTAATTTATGTTTCTTGTTTGAAGTATGAGGCAGTGTTTTATGCCCATGTATCTGACAGTGTTAATAAGAATAGTACCAACAACAGCAGCAAGAGGCTTTAAATTATGTAGTTCTTGAAAAAATTAAGATGGTGATTATAGCAGCAATCTGCAGATCTGTGCTTATGATCAAAGTGGACAATGTAGCATGACTTAAGCTTTGAAATGTGAGGTAATTACAGTTTTATGTGTTATGTAGAAGTAACTGACTTCCATGAGGCCAGTTGCCTTACTGGCCTGTAAATAGTAAAGTATGTAATTTTTTCCTTTCTTACCAGGCTTCTTCGTCAGAGGTCATGTGCTTTCGCTCGCTTGTACGGTGAATTTCATGAAGGTCTGTTTTCTGCAAAGTTGTTCCTGACAGCTGCACTTCACAAGCCTATCATGCAGTTGCTGGTTGAGGATGAAATGTTTTTGGACATAGATCCAGATAAGGCAACAATCAGGTGAATGTTTGGGGTTTCTGTCTTGTGCATTTAATGGACAAAGTGGACAAAGCATGAAAATTTAACATTTGTTGAAGTACTTAGGCACTCTGTATAATATTTGCTCAAATTTGGTGAAGTATGAAATGTAAAGTTTGTATACTTAACCTTTAAACAACGGGGTTTTAAATGGCAAAGTGGTAGCAGGTTTGTAAACTTTTGTACACGCTCTAAGGAAAACTTTAATATTATCTAAAGTAAACATGATAAATTGATGAAATAAAAGCCATATTTATTTGAATAGAACAGAGAATACATAGAGTTTTTTAAAAATGCAGTTAATATCTTAATTGCCTAAATAGGCCTTAGTAACTTTACTTTCTTCTTTGGAAGCTCATTCGACATGGTAGAAGCCATGGTTGTGAACTAATGACCACACAGAAAAATTTGTTTCCCCTACTTCAGTGGATACACATTCTTTTCACCCATCATGCCGAGGAATGTGAGAAGCTTTGAATAGAGGGTCTGAAAAGGAAGCCAAACCCACTTGAAATTAACAATGTTTATTGCTGTTTATGGTTATAGTTCCCAGGTTGACAGCTCAGACTGACCTTGTCAAAACCCTAGAGAAAGTGAATCAATGTTTGCAGCCTCTAAAACAGGCCAAAAGATGTAGCCAAGTCTACTTTCAGTGTTGCAAGATTTGCGTTCCGCACAAGGACCGTTCGTAGGGCTGAGTACACAACTTACGTCCCAGACAAGGAACGCTAGAAAAATGAAGGTTAACTAGGCAATGCATGCAGTTCCTAGGTATTGTTTAGAATGTCAAAAGTGATTTAGAAGCGTCAGTGTAATGCCATTTTTGAATGATGACTTATGCTGTGAAAGTATTTGCTATCATTCAGAGTGGTATTGGTTAAATTTAAGTTATTGAAAGTTCACTTATAATGAATAATTTTTTTAAAATTGGTGTGTGATAGCAATAAAACATGTTTCCATAATGTAACTAAAATTTCTTTGTTACAACAACAGAAGACATTATTTTTAACAAACAGTTCTTGTTTTGCCATTTAGCTTCAACAGTGACTTTTTACAAACCCTTGTTTAGTGTCACTGGACTGTTGAGTAACAACAAATGTAACTCATAATTCTGTTTTATTGAGACTGGTGTTTTGTTTTGTATAATGGGAAAGACGATGTTAAGTACAGTTCTTATAAAATAACAATAGATTTGAAAGTAATGGCATCTTCTTTCATCTTCATGACAACATCTGATGCTGACATGAATCTTCCCAGCCTAATTACACTATAGATTCTGCTGGTGGTAAGCTGTATTTGTTTCATATCCCTCATTATGATTTATCCTGCAAATGGCATGAATATGATGGTCATTTTACTGGTATTAATACACACCATTGCTGTATTTTGTTGGGACTGTGCACTGAATTTTGTTGGAGACAGATTTCTATCCAGGCTGCTGTCTGAGAGCTGTTTCTTTGTGTAATTATTTGAATCATTTCCAGTTGGATTAGTGGTATCCTGCATCTTTTGTATTATGTGCCCTACATGTTGTGGAAAACTGTAATGTATTTAACCCAAACATAACCTGACAACCAAATGGAGCCTCATATGAAGGCTAATGATTCCCTTTGTAATAATTATCCCTGTTCTTCTTTAGGTGAACAAATCACAGGATGTTATGCCATTGACTTCTTTTATCTTCCATCTTTGTTAAATATTTTCTTTATCCTGGTTAACCCTCTCCATAGTACTCTATGATGTTATTTTAAGTAAGGCTAAATATTTTTTAGACCAGTAACAAATCAATTTACAAATTCCCCTCTGTTTCTGGATATTAGAATTTTTAATGGTGCTCTTATATTGTATGCCATTTTGTAGGTTACATCACATTTTTGCACCAGTGGAATTATTATTTTCCATCCAGTGGGACAAAGTCCTATGATATGAACTTTATGTGAATTAAATAATTTATTCGCCTTTTTTCTTTCTGTGTTTCTTTCAACTCTCTTTTTTGGCTTGAATAACTGTAGAAATGTTTCTATATCATGCTGAGTAATATTCTTGTACTTTTGGGAAGTGATTCATAGACATACCGAGCAGCTGAATTGGCTTCAATCATGTATATGATTAATTTGAATCATAATGTGAAATAATCACCAGTGCCATTAAAGACTCTGCATCTTTCTATTAAAAATAAGTGTGATTGTTAGTAATGTTTTTCCAACAAGTCAAAGAATGGCGTACTCAAGATGGAAACAAACATATTTTATTATTGTTTGTATGTTATGACTGTGTTTGTCAGTTTTTACCTGAGTACAGCTGGTGTGGTAACACAAGATATTGGCCTAGGTTGAGCAGATTGTGCATGTCACCATGAAATGCTGTGATTTTGCTGTTTACTGGAATATTATTATGGCAGCAATAGCCATTGTGTACCATCCCTTCTGCTTTGCTGTTTCTTGCCATCCTCTCCCAACTGTCTGCATAAGGAACTTCTTGTCACACCATTTGAATTGTAACATCTGCGCACTAAGTTGTAATGCAAGACTTAAAATAAAGAAAGTTGCTGACATAATGATTTTTCTAATGGTGGTGTGTAACTAACATGTCTGTAAAATGTTGTTTAGGTTTCCTCCTGAGGAACGCTTAAAGAAGTTTGGTCCCGAAGGATCTCCTGAATACAATATTCGACTACAGGAGTATCGCAGGTGGACCAATAAGCGTCTTGTAGCTATTACAAACCGATTTGTGCTAAGTCTGCGCAATAACATGCATTGCTTTCCTACTGGTGTTCGTTGGCTTGTTTGCCAGATAGCTGGATTGCTGTCTAAATCAGGGAATATTGAACCTAAAGAGGTAAGGGACCAAGTTGTAGGGCACTGATTTCATGCAGGATGATGCAGTCACATTCTTATTAATATTCATTTCCTTTAATTATAATTATAATTTTTGTAAACTTTTTCATTTAGTTTGCACTGTGGTGTGAATTTAGATTGTGACTTTTTGTGGTGGTTCTGTGTAATCTTGAGGTAAAATAACAGTATTTTAGATGAAGGAACCTATTCACTATTATTTTTCCTTTTGTTGAAAGTGTCTTTGTCTACAATAGCATGATGCCTTCTTAAGTCCTGTACAGACAGGTTATCTTGGTAGCCAGATGAGGGATGCAGGGTAGCTTGGTTGGAACAGAAGAAGGTTTCTGTACAAGTAGGGTAGGAAACATTTTCCTTGCTCCAGTCCTGCAATGACTTGTTCTAATATCGTGTTTGGTGACACACATCAGCAGGAGAAGGAGATCATTATTAATAATGGTATACTGTGCCAGTGTTTTCTTGACAGTCAATAGAATGCCTCTTTATAACATTAATGCAGCCGGACAGACCAAGTGGCAACTCTTGCATATAGTATAGCATGAAGATGGTAGATGTTCTTCCAGAAAAATCTCTAGTTTCCTCCATCTGATAACAGATAATCTAGACCAAAATACACAGTGTGTGTGTGTACATGCATGCACAGGCTTTCATGTATGTGTTTATGTGGGCAACCAAGGCATTCTGTTGAAATCACAGCCATTATTAAGTAATGCACATTGTGTTACTGGTCTCATAATTCTGACATATTTACATTAATGTTTGATGTTTATAAAATGATGAAAATTCAGGTTCTGGTTTTCTGGGTTCTGATGCAGTATAGTCTCAATAGTGATTACCAGATAACGAAGATAACTCTCCTCTGGAATGTTGCACCATGTAATCTAGAGGAACTTAAGGCAGTAGGCACCTTTAAAACATTGGTTAAGTTCTACCATATTACACAGTGCAACTTCCCATAAGACAGTCATCTTCCTCCATAATGTTTGTAACCACCTACAAGACTATAGAGCATTACATCACAGAAGACCAGAATCCACAGATATTTAAGTTCTTTTGCAGGTAAATGCAATTTGCACAGATTTGGTGTTCACATATTTTATCTGTCCTGCAATTGTTAATCCAGAACCATATGGCATAACAGATGCCCCAATCAGCTATGTGTCTTGTTTTAATCTTATCCAAGTGGCCAAAATTGTGCAGATGTTGGCAATGACCAAGTATGAAGATGTGGATAGTAAAGTGTCAGATCTTTACAATTTGTTTGAGAAGGTTAGTACACAATATTTTTAGATTCTTAGTTGTACATTTACGTTAACAGTTATTAAAGCTACTAGTCAAAACTAGGTTATGTTTGCATCAAAATGGAACATAAAAATAAGCATTCTTAGAATATTAAGTGAGCCTCTTCTCATAATGACATGGTGTGTCCTCAGGTTGCAAATGTGGGAATACAGCCTACAGGTATGAAGGGTCACAATTATATTGAATAATGTGTTCAACAGTCAACATATAGTTTGTCTTCCAGCTTGGAGATGGGTCTCCCTGCAAAAAACCTAGCATCTTACAAAATGTTACAAATGACCTCAATATTGAATAAATTGTTTCAAATTATTTAATTTATAGAATTTACTGTTTTATGATTACTCATAAGCAAATGGAGATTTTAACTAATGTAAAAGGAATGTGTTGTGAAGTTCTGTTATGCCTGCCTTATTTTGTTGTATGTAAATTAAATTTGTTTAGGACTGTGTGTCCTCTCTACTGGATGCAATTCTGGATGGAGCAACAGATGGACTTGAGGATGGACCTGTTATTACTGTTTGTTCGAAACTGCAGGGGTTATCACGGTCAGCAGCATTATTCACTGAGACTGAACTACATCAATTGGTAAGATAAAGAGAAGTGAAAAGTTGTCTGTGTACTTAAGCACCGTAGCATATAAGCATAGAGGCGAGTAGAGAACAAACTCCATTATGGAAGTAGTGGCAAAGAGAAAGATTCTTTCTCCCTGCCATGCATCAAACGTGTAGTCAGCTTCTCTACTGTATTGTAGTGAAATGTTGCCACTTGTATTTATTGAAAAAAGGTGTTTTATGAAATCCTACTTGTACTATGTACGATCCTATGTCAAATACTGGAAAATTATGTACAGGTATTTTGTAACATTACATTGTTACATGTTGGTATCACTGGTCTTATTGCTATGGGTTTTCGGTATCTCACTCATATTAATTGAATCTTTATCTCTTCTGTAGACATCAATAACTTCCAAATAAACATATTGGTATCAGACAGGAATAATAAAAAGAAAGTATTTAGGATGTGGCAAAAAATTTTAATCATACAGATTACATCAACTCTGTACCATTTCTTGAAGCTTTTATTCTTGTAAGATAATGTCTTACAAGAGGAATTTGTTCTTTGGTTGTTTACATCATCACACCATGTTTTAGTGTGACATGCTCTGTGGTGATAAAACAGTCTTTTATTTGAATAAAATGGAAACTTTTTAGAATTTCCATTACAGATCTGATAAAAATCTCTTTGGATTTAAGATTATAATAAAGTGAAAAGTTTATGAATGGCATAAATACTGCATACTGTCCAGATAGTATGAAGGATATTTTGTGTCAGTGTCATGGACAGCCAGTACAGCATTGATATATGTGACTTACTGTTGTAATTTATGAGCTAGGGCATAATATATGATTAATTCCTGTGATTGCATACTTATTACACTAGAGTGGTTAATCTAAACTTTTAAGCTGTCCAACTGTACGCTATGTAGGCGCTTGAGGGAAGACTTGGTATGGCTCCTACTTGCTTAACCTTGGCATTAGGTGGGGGTGAGTGGTTAGCATCACACTCCAGCTGCACTTTACCCCCGGGAAAGGACCGCCATACCCATTGGATAAGTGTGGATGCAGAAGGGGGTTCACATTACAGTATATGTAATATTTTGCATACTGGAATTGTATTGCCCTCACATGGGAACCTAAATTTTGTGTTGTTAAAGTGAATGTGGTAAAATTTATTTGGTGAGCGCACTACAAGACTACAGCTTTCCAGAAGACTTTTACTGTACTGTCTCATGATGTTCACAAATCCCAGTATCATTTAATAAGCATATTTTGTTGGTAAAAATTGTTTGGTAAATGTACTGCTGTATTATATTCTTCCAAAGAACTATTTCATTTTATACGTGATATGTGAAATGTGTTCTTGGTGACAGGTGGTCTTCCTGCAGACTGTATCTACAGATGAAGATGAGAGTCTGGAGGAGAATAGGAAGCAGCTGACCACTTTACTAATGCAGCTTCCTTTTGGAAACACCACAGTGAATGGTCATGTAACTGGTGGTGTGCTGAAGCCACAACAGCCAGCAACTCCTAGTACACCTCGAAAGAGTGCAGGATTGTTAGGAATAGGTGAGCTGTGTAGCAAGCAAATTATAGTCTGGTACATGAAAGACAAAAATGAAAATTGAGTGAAATACTGCAACAGCATTTTATGCATGTGCATTGATGACTTTGGAAGTGCATTTATTATGTCCCACTCAACATTTGTGTCAAAAGCAATACTAGTTTTTGTTCGTGTGTGGAACAAACCTGGAAGAAGGTACAAATAAATAATTTTTTCAATAGAAATAGTCTCACCAACATATTTGTTGTTTCTGTGACATAATATATACAGTGAAACCTCTATCCATCGTTCCCGGATGCATCGTCCATTTTGTTCGGTCCCGAATACATCCCATATAAAATAATGTTACATTTTCCCGCTTCTATCGTTCCTCGAACTATCGTTTTATCGCATCGATCGTTCAAAAATCTTAGTCCCGGCCAACAATTTTCCCGCTTGTCAGAAATTTTACGCTTTTAATTTGGGTGCACTCATATTTCGTTCCAGCGATGCCAGATGGCATGTGCAGTGTGAATTTCTTCACAAATGCTTTTATTATAAGTACAAAGGAAAGGCGAGCGAAACTTTTTCATTCTTCTGGTTCATATCGTGTCTTCTACAGCTACGTTTCGTTGAGTTCGGCAGTAATAGTACTTCCATTTTTCCTGTTATAGTCCGCGAAGGTTGAGGGAGCGGTGAGGAAGAGGGAGAAACGACGAATGCGAGCCCGAACTTTGCCGAGTTTTTCCGAAGCACACGCTGCATTGGCAAAAGTGAAGTCGTTCTTTTATGCGCATAATATTAGTGAACGTGACGAAGAAAACATTTTGAACGTGGAAAGTGCTCTGTTTGGTCTACAACGTAAAGTTTCGACACACCAGTTGTCCATTAAAGACTTTTTTGGTAAAAAGAAGTAACTTTGAAAGAGAAACATTGTTTTTTTTTAAATTTTTAATGCTTTCCCGCATCTATCGTTTTCCCGCATTCATCGTTTTTATTTCCCACCCCCGCCGAAAACGATGCATCGAGGTTTCACTGTATTGGTATTGAAAATATTATTTGTTTACTTTGTTGTTGTTGTTGTGAAAAAAGTTCAGTATGTAACAGTTGCATGGAAATTTTTGCCATATAAGACTTGTTCAAATTTATTTATATGTGGTTAGAGTGAAATACGTGTCTTAAAATACCGGAAAATCAAGTTATTATATTATTTTATCGTGTTACCAGTTGGAAAGGGCCGGGTGGCACGTACCTCATCATCTCCTGCGTCTTCTACAACTGTGGAGGGGACAGAAGAGAGTATTGGAGGAGAAGAAGATAATGGGGAACGTGGGAGCCAGGATGTACTTGTCATACCCTTCACACCAAATGTTGGTGAGAGTGTGGGTCTCATTGCTGAACAGAAAGTAAGCATGACCACTCTTATATTAACACTGACCTTATCAGAATCATCAAATCATCAGTGTATTATTTTGTTATCATGTAAATTCATTACATTTAATGGTTGAAACCATGTATTGTATGCAGTTAAACCTGTTTGGGCACCACTTTTTGTCAACTATCAGTATATTGACATTAGAGTAGGATTGGTGGTAAATTGATTTTCTTGCGGAGGTATATTTTTGTTTATTAATGTATTGGAAGTGCCACAGTATTGTATTTGAAATAATGTAGTTATGAACTGAAAGTAAAAGAAAAGGCAAAATTTCAAAGTATGTATTAAAGGGTGTGCTGCAGGGGGCTTGAAAGAGCTCACTGGAGCCCCTCATTAATTTTTGGCTAATTATTCAAGCCCTGTGATATCAGTATGGAAAGTAATCATATTATACAGGCAATACACCATATCAAAATACCAGTACTGTTATATCCATATATTGATATCTTGCCTGTCACTACTTCCAGATGTAAAAATGAAAATAAAAAGGTTCATAGCTTTCTGGTGCAAGATTAATTGGAGTATATCTTTGTATTTATTTATACTTCTGTTTTATGTTGTTGACCTAAACATTAACACTTTGAGTCTAGTTGTTGCAAGTTTGTTGCATTGCAACACTCACTCCACATGAGTCATCATGTTTGTAAGGTTTTATTGTTAAATATTTATATAAATTGAACATGTTCTTTACAGATACTATGCATGGAAGAGCATTCATCATGTGCAGAGGCACGAGTGCGTGTAAATTTACCTGACAGTCAAGAAGAGCGCAGTGGGGGTGAAGGTGGAAATGTGGGTGAAAGAGTAGAGAGTCAAGAGAAGCGAACTCGATTTTCTTTGTCACACGATGAAGGCTCTATTGGTGAGAAAAATTATGTTTGCAGTATAAGGGTTTGTTGATTTTGCTTAATAGTTGTTTATATTTAAAGAGGCATATATTTAACTTTCACTGCTGTGCAAACATTGTACACTCTACATCATTTCAGAATGTATGATACATAGTTAGCCCATTTATAGACAGTACATGGGACTGACAGTACAGTGAAACCTCTATCCATCGTTCCCCGAACTATCGTTTTCCTGGATGCATCGTCCGTTTTGTTCGGTCCCGGATACATCCCATATAAAATAATGTTACATTTTCCCGCTTCTATCGTTCCTCGAACTATCGTTTTATCGCATCGATCGTTCAAAAATCTTAGTCCCGGCCCACAATTTTCCCGCAATGATCATTTCTGAGAATTTAAAATGCTGGGTTTAGAGATAAATTAATACCGAAAGACGCATAATGTTTTTGGAATACACAGTAGCGGTAACCTGTTATGTCGCCCAACCAGCACATTCTTTTGGAATGA